TTTTTTTTTTTTTGAGATTTTTACATCCACCATGTTATAAAAGAGTTCACACTCTAAACTGTTTACGTGTGCAAATTTTCCGGGATTGTATTTCCGACTGGAAGACATTGCCATATTTCATAAATTTTAAAATGTCTCCCGCGCCGTGTCGTCTACATCTCTGCCCCCTCTCTCTCTCCCTCCCTCTCCTTCCCTCCTCTCTTTCTCTCTTTCTCTCTCTCTCTCTCTCTCTCTAGCCCTTCTTCTCTCTACTGCTTGAAGCAAACCTGATGATACCTTTTCTTGAAATGGCTTTGTGTCTTTTGTTTATAGACTTTGCTTTCATCAAATTCTTATTCTATCGATTCGGTTCTCATTTATAAAGAAGTGTTTGTGTGTTATTTGATGAGTATTATTTATTAACTTAAAAACTATAATTGATTTTTGAAAAATATATTTAATTCGTTTATAATGGAAATTATTTCTTCTAAAGCTACCGGCATTTGAATTTCAATGGCGCCACGTACAAATTCTTTTATAGTTGGTTAAAAATATGGAAACAGGTATGTGGAGGCGGGTAAAAAATAATGAGAGGGAGGAAAGAAGTAGTGAAGAAGAGAGTGGGAGAGCAAAAGGGAGAGAGCAAAAAAGAGAGTGTGAGAGCGAAAAGAATAGACAAAAGAAGACAGATCGAGAGAAAGGAAGAGAACGAAGAAGAAAGAGAGAGAGAGAGAGAGAGGGCAAAGAAAAGAGAGAGCGAGCGAAAGGAAGAGAATTAAAAAAGAGAGAGAATGAAGACGAGAGAGAGAGAGAGAGTGAAGAAGAGAGAGCATGAAGAGAGCAAAGAAAAGAGAACTTTTGCTTTGAACAATAAGAATGTATTTAATCCTAAATTTAAATGATAATTCCTCTTCCTGTTGTGATATTCTGATCCAGTTATCCCTTCTACTGTTCCCTGATTTTTTAAAACTTATTCACCGTTCTCTTGATGGTTCTTGAATGACATTCAAGATGGAAGTCAGAGTATGAATGTTGGTACAATTACTGGAAGCCTGAATGATCTTTTTCCTCTCGCAATTACACATCAGGGAAGACAGTGGGACTGAAATAACACGATTTTAGTATGTTCTCCTTTTAGCTGAATAATTCAGTGATTCTTACGAAAAAATGGTGTCAAGATGGCTAAACGTCTCATCCAAAAACCTGCAAAAAAGAAACTCAATTAGTTTTGTGGTTTATTTAGTTATTAAACATTTTGTGGGATAGACAATTATGCTGCTATACGATTGGGACAATTTTGATTTTACACTTGCTATGTATAGGGCAACCACTGAATGCTTTTGTGAAAAACCTGAGTTTTTCATATACGTTATATATAATGGGACCCCAGCTTCTGAGGAATAATAGTGAGCCGACAGTAGTATAATATTGCAGAGAGACGTGTTTAGATTCTTTTTGTGGTCACCTTCCCACAGATACCATTAAGAAAGGTACATATCCATCTTTTTTCCAACAGGTATCGTTTAAATAACACTATAAATTGGGCTTTTTAACCTTGGATCGCAACCAATCTAAGATAAGGAAAACTGTGAATTCTAGAATCGTGGCAAAAGCAACAGGAAACCGCTTCACTATCTCTCCGAATAAATCATGGCAATTAATATACGGTGTAACCCGGATATAAGAGAGTTATCGGGACAGGATAAGAAGTCTCTTATATCCGGGTTTCTCTTATATCCGGGTTTGGTCTATTATATATACATTAACACAGGCTCTAATTTGGGACCAGAGGAAATCTCTCTTATATCAGGGTTTCTCTTATATCAGGGTCTCTTATATCCGGGTTACACTGTATATAGAAAAGAAAAAGGTGGAGTTTTATATAAAGCATTGCGATCAGAAATAATCATTTTTCTTTTCATATTACAATGGATTAAAAATTCCATTTAATAGGGGGTCCAGTTTGCTCTTCACATTCATTGTAGATTGAACCCTTACCAACGTGAAAGTCAAAAGAAACATGTTAATGCGAGGTGATTTCATAAAAAATATGTATTTAAATTTGAAATTTCTCATCTTGAATCCATTTTGTTTTTAGATATCACTAATGGATTATACACTCTAGCTTATGAATTAAAAAAATAAATTCTAAGGAAAAGATAGTATACGAACATATTTATCTATTTGGTTATTTTTGACTTACGTAGGGGATTTTTTTTAATAGCGATGTATGTGATGTATTTCGGTGTATGTAGGATCGAATGACAACTTATAGATTCTTATAATGAATAAGTAAATTGTAACAAATGAATGGGTCGTGAATCTGATTAGCTTGGTATAGGATATTATCGACCAGAAAATAAGCATTCTATTTAACATGGATGACTTATGCCACGAATTATAGTGACCTGGATGGTCTCCTGAAAACAATAAAATGTTTCAGTGATGACATTGGAATGGAATTCGGTTTCGATAAATGTGCTAAAGCCAAAATATAATATATATACTAAAACAAATCCACATTATAACCAAAAACGTTTGCGGTTTCCCGCTTTTTTTAAAATATACATTTTTCTCACGTTCGAAAAACTATAACATTTCCCCTACACTTACACATATATATATATGTACATTGTCGTAATTTCTATTTATTATTTGTGCTAAGGACGCTGTCATTAAACTAACTAATTTGTAATTGGATTGGGTTGTTCTGCCTAAAACATCGGGCCATATCGGTCAATTTACTGTATAATTCAATGTACAAAGTTCCATCCTTAAAGGAAAAAAACTCTTGGTCGGGTCAGTCTGTTTAGGCTTACTACTACCCATCCATCCTTACCTGTATCTCATCTGTTTAAAAGTGGCTGTACACCCGAGACATTTCTCCTTCCCCTTCTCATGTCATATCTTCTCTCTTGATTTCCCTCCTCCCCTGTCAATCTAATATATCCGTCCGTTTTATTGTCTCCATTTCCTAAGAGACTTTGGTCTGAAAAGTGAATATGGCATCTGATGGCATCAATGCTATTGTACGGTTGGTTGAGGTGTTCAGCGACAGGTGAATTTTTGTTGTCTTTGATGTTTTTTCTATGGTTATTGAACCGAAGATAGAATTCCTTGCTCACTTCTTTAAATTAATTCCCTTTTCTTTGTATTTGTAGTATAAAAAGTAAATACATAAGATTTGAACTGTCACAAGTCAGAGCCGATGGTATGAATATTGTGTGAGTGCCGGGAGTTTGAAATTGCTATAACTGATGATATATATATATATATATATATATATATATATATATATATATATATATATATATATATATATATATATACACCTAGTGAGCCAGAAAAACCTACCTCTTTGCCTCGTTAGCCAAACTTTCCCTGACGATCCGTTTAGGTGAAACCTAGGTAGGTTTGTCTGGCTCACTAGGTGTATCTAGGTCTGCTCTACGGTTGTATTGAGCTCTTTTGTTAGTTAGTTGTTTACTCGTATCGGGGTTTTTTCTTTGGGCTTCAGACCTGCATCTGTGCGATTTTTTGTCGGCAGAAGTCCATGTTTGTAGCTCTTTCTTTTTTTAAAACCTTTTTTTCCCTCGAGATTGATTTGATTAGCAAATCAAAAATTCGAAGGTTTTTCGAAACGAGTCTAGTTATCTATATTTATATGTATATATATATATATACATATATATATATATTTTTATGGGCCCCCCCTCTTTTTCATACAAGTGGACTCGCCCAGTGTGTACTTGTACTGCTGCCGGTGAATACCCGGGAGTAAGAGAGATACACTGATACAGTGAACAGTAAGAGAGTAAGAGTGTGAGGTAACCGCTTTGTAGGAGTCACAGTTGCGAGCGCGTAGGCTCAGAAGAAAGTCCTACTTCGATACTCAATTTCTCAGACTGTATATATATTATTATTGCTACTAACCGCATTTCTGGATCTACTAACCGTATTACCAATTGTATTATTACGTCAATACATTTATTTGCTATATTTCATTCCTGGGTTTGTCATTCATTTGAGACCGGATTTCATCTCGGAATCCACAACATATATATATATATATATATATATATATATATATATATATATTTATATTTTGTTTGTTTGTGGTAAAACTGATAAATAAAGATATGCTTTACTGCTTTTTTTTTTGTTAGCAAATGACTGAAGCTCGTTTTTGTTTGGCTCGTCTCCGTTATAATCTGCAAATGTATCTCTTCAAAATAGGAAGAGAGAAAGCCATGTCACATTCCGTAAGTGTCACGTTAAAACTAAGCACATATTTGACAGTCCATTACAAGCCACAGAATCATTCTTTTGACCACAAAAGACGCTAAAGCAATGGCTTTCGATAAAACGAGGTAATAATCTACCATTTAGAAATGAAAAAAATCTTTGCTTTTGAACTGATACTAGGGAACAATGAACATATTACAAGAAAGGACGTCTGTTTTGTTTCCCCTTCTGCAAAGCAAATAATGTTGTTTCTTTCAACATGGCCTTTCTCTCTCTATCTGGGTTCATATATATATATATATATATATATATATATATATATATATATATATATATAGGGGGGTTTTTGTGTGTGTGTTTGTGTGTGTTCTTTTATGCTTTTGAATACCAAACAGTAAACAAGTTATGCCTGCTGGGCCATTAGGGTTACATTGTAATGCTTGAAGCATTGATAGTGATGGTAGTTGTGGGAGAAACATTTTGAATCAGGAAGTTCTGGGTGAAGGCGTTGTTTGATGGGGTGATATTTTCCATAGCTTTGTCCTGGAGAAGACGGATAGGATTCGTATTGGAATTTTAAAAAAAGGGATGTCGATATTTACTAAGCCTTGCTTAGTAATGCATCAAGCCAAATCAGAGAAACGTGGAAAGAAAGAGTGTGCTACGCCAGACATTTAAGTTCTAGAAAATCGCTATCTGGATATCTTATCTGTTAACCTGAGTTCGAATGTTGATTTATGACATAAAGCTATATAAGAAGGCTATCGTTATTGAATTTATAGCAGGTGGAGAAGAAGAGTGAGGAGGAGTGGGATGAAGAGAAAGAAGGGAAAAGAGAGAAAGGCAAGAGAGAGAGAGAGAGAGAAATGGAGAAAAAAGGGAAAAGAAGAAAGAGAGAAAGAGAGGGATAGATGTAACTAGAGGGAAAAGATAAAACTTGGAACAAAGAGAGAGACATAAAGAGAAAGAGAAGGGGAGAGAAGATGGAGTGAGAAGGAGAGAGAAGATGGGAGTGAGAAGAGAGAAAAAGAATGAGAGAAAAAGAGAGATAAAAATAAAGGAAAAGGAAAAAGAGGGAGATAAAGAAAGAGAGAGAGAAAGAGAGGGATAAAGAATAAAAGAATAAAGAGATAGAGGAATATGCAAAAACGAGGAAGATAGGGAGAGCGATAGAAAGAGAAAACGAGAGAGAAAGCGAACGAAAAAAAGGCGGATGGAGAGAAAGCTAGAGTGAAAAGAAAGAAAGAAAGAAAGAAAGAAAGAAAAAGAAAGAAAAAGAATCAGAGAACTAAACAAAGTAAGAAAGAAACAAAGAAAGAAAGAAAGAAAGAGAAAAAAGAGGGAGAAAGAAAAAGAGAGAAAGAAGGAGAAAAAAGAGCGAGAAAAGGAAAAAGGGAGACAAAGACAGTAAGAGAAAACGAACGAAAAAAGGTGAATGGAGAGAAAGCGAGAGAGAAAAAAAGAAAGAAAGAAAGAAAGAAAGAAAGAAAGAAAGAAAAAGAATCAGAGAACTAAACAAAGAAAGAAAGAAAGAAAGGAAAAGAAAGAGAAAAAAGAGGGAGAAAGAAAAAGAGAAAGAAGGAGAAAAAAGAGCGAGAAAAGGAAAAAGGGAGATAAAGACAGTGAGAGAAAGAGAAAGGGCGAAAGAGAGTGGGAGAGAGAAAAGATAGAGAGAAAGAGATAAAGACCAACAAGAAGAGAAGTGACTGCTTATTATCTGAAGTGGTTACATATTCAACACCGGTACCAGTGTTTCATGTTCGAACCCAATTAAAAGTCAGCAATGCCTGTGCGTATAGTTTATCTGTCTTCGGCATGGAGTAGAAAATCAGAGAGCAAAGTTCAAATTCCGATCTAGTCAGTTGTTTTCACTTACACGCTAATTCCCTTGAGAAAGGCATGAACCTATCACTCTAACCTTTGATGGCAACCAGTTTAATAAAAGAACTCTGAATTCAAAAACGTTGAAAAACAACTCCTCCATCTTTCCCAAGAAATCATGGTAATTTCCTGATAATAAGAAAAAGGAATCTAAGGAGAAGGCAACGGGAAACTACTCCACTATCTTTCTCATGACGTCATGGTAATTCACAGATAAGGAAATGGATTGTGTGGAGAGCTATAATTGCCAGTGGCTTGAAAAAATATCAACAAGTCTAATGGCGATTTTCACGGCAGGTAGACCATTTACATTTGACAAATTAATCCAACACCATTTTCGTGCCCTATCTAACTAGACCTGGATTTAGTCCCCAAGAGGCCCCCTTGGTTAAAAGAATATGAGTGCGCCTTTATTACATATGTTTGAAAATAAAGCTAGTATCTATAAAAAAGATATACTTTTAGATCATGCCTTTTTGGTGTAAAACCAGAAACACTTCAACCAAAATTTTTAATGATTTTGAAACTTACCCAATTTATTTCATTAGCAACTTCATGATATTTTTTTATCCAAACTTTACATGTATCTAGAATGAAGGTCCTGTATGACACTGAAATTCTATATTCATCAAATTCAAAAGAGGACCAAATACTCTTAATTGTTTTTTTTTTAAAAAAAAAAAGATCTATATTTTGATGATGTTTTTTTAGTGTAAAACATGAAACACTTCACCTAAATTTATTTTACTAGCGACGTCATGATATTTTTTATCTGAACTTTACACCCTACAAAAAAACATGTAGAATGAAGGTTCTGTATTACACCGAAATTCTATGATTCAAATTTGCTAGCAATACACCTACCCACACAAGAAAAACGTAAAGATAATCCCAGATCAACACAATTGAAAAAAAAAAATTATATTTGTTATTAAAATTGTCAACTTCAAATAGCCAAACTAGTAATTATAAATTCTAGAGAATAGATAGGAAAGAACAGATTCTTCGACTGTATCACATTGTAATGAAAGATAATGACTTGCATCACAGCGAGAATTCAAATATACACATATAGAAGAAAAAACTAATTTTTGACTAACATTTTTCTTGAGTTGTTTGCAATTGAGTCTTTGATTAAATCATAAAAAGAAATATGAATAATAATATTTTAAATATTTTAAATATGGCCCCTTTCAAAGGCGGGGGGGTCATCGAATTTAAAAGACCCATACCAAATATGCTAAATTGTTTCTAGTTAGTTTAAAGTAGTCACATTAAATCTGAACATAAGGACATTTCCTCTGTTTTCGTATCTTTAATTTTTTTTTTTTTGGTTCTATCAGGGCCCCCTCTAGTTCTGGGGCTCATGGGCATTAGCTCAATATTTGCCCATATGTAAACCCGGCACTGATTGACAGCAAAGAGACAACCCAAGGTGTGAAGTATAAATTGAAATCATCAAACTTGAGCAGGTACAAAAATTTATCTGGGGAAGGCTGTCACAGCCAATGCAAAGTGGGATACAGGAATCAGAACGTGGATAGAAACTGCGAAAAATGCTTTTCAGAAATTTCAAAGTTTATCACTCCAGATACAATCAAAGACTGTGACCCGCCTCGTTTGGCTGTAAGACGAGTTAGCAACTATTTGAGGATCCTACCGTAACGCACTGGTTATCGAGATAGTTTCTCTGACAAATTCAAATCTCTGTTTTTATGGCACTTCATCAGTTTAACATAGAATTATCTTGGGGCGTAGATTAATAGATTAATGCCATAGATAGATTTTTTTCGAACTATTTTTCTGATTTTCGGTTGAACAATCAAACACTATGTTTAAAAGGCTCCATAAATACATCATCTGATAGGCGGGATATGACTGTAAGGCAAGAAGAATAAGGAATGAAAGGTGGAATGGAAAATGGACAGGGATAAGAAGGAGGACGAGGGCGAGGAAGAGACGAACAGAGAGAAGGAGGACGAGGAAAAGAAGAAAAAAAACGAAGACTACGACGACGACGACGACAAAGAAAGACAAGCAGAAAAAAGAAAAAGAAAAAGACGAATACAACGACGGCGAAGAAGAAGATGAGAAAGAAGGAGGACGAAGTGAAGAAGAAGAAGAGGAGGAGGAGGAGGAAGAGGAGAACAACAACAAGGAGGGAGAGTGAAATAAGAATAAGAATGAGGCGAAGAAAGGGAACAGAAGAAGAAGAAGGTGAGGAGGAAGAGAAAGAGGAGAAGAACAAGGAGGAAGAGGAGGCGAAGAAAAAGTAGGGAGAGTGGAATAAGAATAAGAATGAGGCGAAGAAAAGGAACAGAAGAAGAAGCAGAAGAAAGATGTAAATTAAATAAAAGAATACGATAAAATAAAATAAAATAAAATAAAATAGAACAAATCAAATCATTTTTTTTTTAAAATCAAGGAAAAGGAATCCCGAGAAGAAAATCGACGCGAAAAACACAAAACTGAAAAATAGGGTCAGAATATGAGAAAGGGCAAAAGAAGAAAATAAATATGTCTTGCTGAGAAAGTTTTTTGGTATTTTCGGAGACGAATTGTAAAGATCAATATGTAAACTTTCAATAAGTAAGAAGAAAGAACTAAGACATACCAAGAGGGGGATGTTGTAAACATGTTAGGAAGATGTAAGAAGCGGTAAAACAGAGTTTGAGGTGGGGTTCAGTCGAAGATAGAAAAACTGATAAATAAGGAATCAATTGATGGCGACCGATCGAAACATAAACAGATATGGAGAGGATAATATATATATATATATATATATATATATATATATATATATATATATATATATATAATGAGAGATAAAAAAAAAGTGAGGCTATAGAAGGAGACAAATACAAAGAGAGAAATAAAGATACAGAAGAGAGACTAATCAAAGAGAAAGAGAAAGGGTATAGAAGAGTTACAAATACAAAGAGACAGAGGGAGTATAGAAGAGAGACAAATACAAAGAATGAGAGAGAGAGGATATCGAAGGGAGACAAATACAGAGAAGATATGGAAGAGAGACAAATTAAATAGAGAGAGAGGAGGGGATAGAAGAGAGACAAATATTAAGAGAGAGAGAGAAGGATATAGAAGAGATACAAATACAAAGACACAGAGAGAGAGAGAGAGAGAGAGAGAGATGTGACATAGAAGAGAGTCAAAGAAAGAGAAAGAGAGACGAACAGACTGTGATGAAGACAGGCAGTAAGAGAACTCACAGGACCGAACAGATAGATAGAATGTGATAGATAGATAGATAGATAGATGAAACGGACTGATGATATATAGATAGATAGATAGATAGATAGATAGATAGATAGTGAACGGACTGTGATAGATAGATAGATAGATAGATAGATAGATAGATAGATGATGAACGGACTGTGATAGATAGATGATAGATAGATAGATAGATAGATAGATAGATAGATAGATAGTGAACGGACTGTGATAGATAGATAGATAGATAGATGGATAGATAGATGGATAGATAGATGGTGAACGGACTGTGATAGATAGATGGATAGATAGATAGATAGATGAATGGATGAATGGTGAACGGACTGTGATAGATAGATAGATAGATAGATAGATAGATGAATGGATGAATGGATAGATAGATGGATGAACGGACTGTGATAGATAGATAGATGGATAGTGAACGGACTGTGATAGATGGATGAATGGATAGATAGATAGATAGTGAACGGACTGTGATAGATAGATAGATAGATAGATGAATGATAGATAGATAGATAGATAGATAAGAACAGACATATGTAGATAGGGACACTTTGATGTAGTGTAATGGTATACAAGCTTGTCTTGCAACATAAGTAGTGTGTTTGAACCTCACTGGGTGCTCCGTACTTTCGGTCTTGTGCCACATTTAAGCAACGCTTATCAAGGAGAAGTTCGACGTGATATAATGGTTAGCAAACTTCTCTCGCTAAACCAATTACGACTGAATAGTAATGCTCCATACTTCCGGTTTTGTGCCCCACGTGAGCTACGCTCAGAAAATTACCACAGCCATAGATATATATGAACATTGTTAGATACAAATATAGATATGAACATACTTACATAAGTATGAAAAGTATATATATATATATATATATATATATATATATATATATATATATATATAGTTTCAAATTATATATATATATATATAAAAGTTTCAAATTAAAAAATAATAATGTTTTATTTTATGAAAGTATTTATTTATTTATATATATATATATATTTGATATTTCAAATTGTCCTCAATTTTTCATCAGAAATAACTGTTTGTTACAAATAAATTATATATATATATATATATATATATATATATAAAATCCGACATATTTTGTTACTATACAGTAGAAAATGTTGAGAACACGTCAGATATAACAACAGTTTCTCGTAAAAAGTGGGTCTCAGGTTCGAATCCATATTTTTCTTTAATAAGTTTTTAGGTATTCAGGCCGGTAGATAATGATAAATAGATAGCCAAAGAAGAATCTGCAATGTTATTGGTCCTAGCCTGGCATCTCAGCTTCGGTCACATTCCCACCACTGTAATGTAGCCTATTCTATAAATAATTTCAATGTAATTTTTCTGAGGAACTTTCCTCTGTGGTACCTAGACTTTATGAATTTAAGGTCAGTGCTGGATTGGAGGCAAGATCCCATTATTCAACAGTCATAATAGATGTATGCGTGAGTTCTTTGCTAACAGTTATTTTTTCTATCGCACTTCTTGCTTGTGGAATTTTCTTCTTCTTGCTTTCCAGTCAGTTTTGATCTTTAAAAATTTAAATGCAAATCAGTCGTTCTTTTCTCTCTTTGTATTCTTATATTGTCCTCTCTCATTAATAGTAGTTGTTCTTTTTTCTCATAGTTCCTCACATTCACTAAACCCTTGCATCTTAGTGGTTTTATTGTCTTACTTGGGGTGAAATGATTAAAAAAAAGAGGATATGATCAGAGATAAATATGAACAGACTACTACTACGGTTACTACTACTACTACTATTACTACTAATAATAATAAGAAGAAGAACACGCACGTATTTTATGGTGGATGGAGGTGTTAATGTGTCCATGTTTTGATTTTGGTTAAGCTGGACTAGAGTAAATATCACATTTAGTACCACAGGTTTGCTTTCCACTTCCCCTTTGGTGATGACGAAACCCGCGTCTCTGTCCATGAGCGGGAGTTGTAGGGAATACTATCTGAGTGGATGAGATTAACTAACTTGAATGTATTTCTTATCTAGATGCCACATGCATTTATTAAAACCTCATCAATATTTCTAACTGGGTGCCATCTGCTAGATTATGTGCAGTTTTTCTCAAATATTAAACAGGGTATCATGATGTCTATATTGGACTTCATATATGGACGAGGCACGGTGGAGTAATGGATAGCGGCTCGGATCGAGGAATCAAATCTGTAGTAATAAATGTGATATTTGTTGTTGTCCATCTTAACCAAGATTAAAACATGTGCACATTAACAATTCCAGTCGAATCCATCACATCCACTTACGTGCTAATACCCTTGCGAAAGGTATTAATCCTCTTCTTCCCTCAGCTATAGATAAATAGCAGGTTCTGTAGCCTTGGATAGCAACTGGTCTACTGCAGAAAGAAATGGTAACCTACTGCGGGGAAAAATCTGCCTCGTCAGTCGTGTATCCAAAATTACATGATCGCCTTAGCGTGTATCACATGTGGCACATAACTGATTGATATGCATGTAAATCACCAAGGGTATGATCATGATGGAATTGTTCCTAAAATTGAGCATGCCATATTATACGCTCTCTAAACAGTAACTAAACTCTGCTCGGTGTAATTGCAATATAAACAACAGAGTAGGTGTCTGTAGTCTTTGGTTAGCCACCCTGGCAGATGGGTGTACAGAGAAATTAGGTCTCTGGTTGGGACCCGAAAAGAAATGTGTATACAACAGAAATCAAAGGAAATAATAATAAATTATTTTGGCAACTTGATCATAAAAGGTCGTGACATGATCCCTTTACCAAAATCATTCATTGGAATTGTATAAGAAATAGAATTTTTCAGTGAGAAAAAGAATGGTACAATCCTAACCCAGACTTGAGAATCACCTCAATTGGGGACTGTCTGAGCAAATGAGATTAACTAAACTATCTAGGCACCAGTTGCAAGTTTAGATGCTGTATTTATTAAAGCCTTATCAGGATTTCTAACTGGGTCCCATCTGCTTGATTATGTGCAGTTTTTCTCAAAACCTGTAAAAATATCAAACATATTTGGCTGTTGTGTATGTGCTTGATATACCTTTATCAAACTCGGTGTCATGATATATATAATTGGGCTTCCTATATTTGTGTTATTTTATTGGCGTGTTGCTCTTTCATTCAATAATAAGAAGAAGAATCTCTAAATATATAGAATGAACATCAGACGAGACGTGGCAGCAATATTCAAAGCATGACCGAATGGCAAACTTATAAATATGTAAGATGAACTTGATGGAGAGTATCCATGACACAAAATTTCTGATTTAAAAAGAAAGTACACCTAAATATAATAATAAATGCTTTGATATTCCACTGAGACTGGCTCTCACGGCTTCTGATCTTGATTGATTGTAGATATTAACAAAGATGTCTTCTTGAACTGAGATGGGCAACCCTCAGGTTTGATTGTCAGTTGCACATGTATCATAGCCAGATGTTTTTGTTAGTTTTACAGGTTTTGAGAAATGCTGCACATAACCTTGCGGATGGGGTCCAGTTAGAAATATTTTCATGTTGTGCAACCCAGTCAGCTCAGGCATTCTCTTATTAAAGACGTTCCTTTGATTTAACTCCCGAATTGTTTTGGCCCCGTCATCCGACAAACTTGTGTGAGGGTTTAATAAAAATCAGCGCATAACCTTGTAAGCGGCGCCTAAGATAGAAATCCTTTCAGGTCAATGTCTGAGCCGTACTCTGAAATTTTATTCAGTATTTATTTAATTTTATTTGTTTCTCTCCTCCACCAATAAGAATAGATAGATTCACATATCGTCCGGCTCACACTCCTATTCGGTTTTTTCAACAGGAATAGAGATTTATTCCTTGATTCCTGTTTAGAATTTGGCTTCCGGTTCCTTCTAAAGTCTACTTCATCTATGTACTCCTAAAGTCTGCCTCTGAACTCTGATATTTTATCCACTATCCAATATATTTAATTTTTTTCTCCTCCACCAACAGGAGTAGGTAGGTTCGCCTATCGTCCGGTTCACACTCCTCCCCGGTCTTTTGAACAGAACTAGAGCTTTGTTCCTTGTTTCTTGTTTAGGATTGAGTTTCCAGTTCCTTTTAAAAAAATCGAACCAGCATTTTTTTCTTTTACTGATAATTTACCTAATAAAAAGCCCAGTAGCCATTCAATGTAGAGTGAAATTCTAAGGGAGGGAAAATGGGAACGTGAGAGAATATTATGGAGACTAGTAGGACAGATACCGGTTGATCCTGGATTTAAAGAAACCAAGATTGTATTTGTCAGGGAAGCATTCTCTCGGGAGTATTTCTGGGGGAAGAAATTTCTTTTTTATCAAATGTATACAAAGATAATGGAGATAGAGTGAACAGGGCATACCCGATCCGAGCTGTGAAGATCCAAGCTGGTGGAACGAAGGAATTTCACTCGAACGAAGATCTGCCATACTAATAGCAATAGAGCAGTGAGATGCTGGTGATGTTTCGTCTGTGGGATAAGTTTGCAGGATGGAGAATAATTCATCACCCACAAGGCCGCATAACCGCCTTTGGACTCTTGGAAGTAAGGATTGGGTAGCACCAGCCCTGATATGGTAACAATATTCTTGGTCTGAATTGACTCTTGTCCGATGACACCAACATACACGAATATTTGATGTCGGGAGTGAACTTTATCACCATTAATCTTAATACACAGGTCAAAGGGTATTGAAATATCTTTATTGGAAAATAGGGCAACGTTATATTCTTCTCAGTTCAGGAGAATGGTAGGAACACAAACCACCGGCGTTGCTACGAGGTAAAATTATGACAGTGCTCTTGAATTTCGCCATGGTTACCTTCAAAGCTATATAAGCCAATAAACCAGATAGAATAACAGCTGTGTTATCTGATTGATATGCCCCTGAAAAAACACATTGACTTAAAGAGGGTGATTTTTATGAACCGCACCGAATTGTTAAATAAAGATCTGCTTACAAAAAGATGAAAACTATTATTATTATTATTCCTAAGAGGAAGAAGGAGGAGGAGGAGGGGGAGGAGGAGGGGAAGAGGAAAGTGAAGGATTACTAATGGCATCCCAGGATCAGGAAAGTGATTAAATGTAAACGTTGTTAAGCACTTCAGCATTATTATGTAGAATGTGAGGAGAGAGATGAGACTGTATTGTATCAGAATGTAAGTGTATAGCTCAGAATGAATATAATAACTTGAGCCATGATAAAGTTATTGCCATTATTCATTGGAAGTCGTGTAAAAAGTACAAGTATTATAAACACGTGATCACAAAGGAGAGGAAAGTACTGGAAAATAACAAAGTGGAAATCCTGAGGGATATTCCGATACAGGCAGTGGAAACTTTTAAAACACAACAAACCAGATGTAATCTTGCTGAACAAAGCAGATAAAAAAGAAATCTGCAAGTTTTCATTGAAGATTGTGTAAAAAGTAGAACAATCATGAACATGAAATAATGATAATAATAAAAAGAAATATGAAACTTTATTCAACTAGAACTGTCTTACAAAACCACAACAATCGGTTTTCAACAATACCTGGGAACTACAGAAGACTGGATGATGATTCTGTGTCGAAGAGAATGAAAGAAATAAGAAACTTCATTCAGTAATAAAAGAAGCCAACAAATTAAAAAAAAGAATTTTAAGAAAATGAAAGCAAACCATAATAGATCCACTGCAGCTGTAAAGAACCTGAAAAAAGAAAGCAAATTCAATGTACCAAATGCAAAAATGATGGTAAGATAAGTCTCTTCATGGTCAATACTCTGCCCCTAGCAAACAAGCTGATGTAGACAAACCCAGTACCCATCAGTACCCATCAGTGTTTACGTAGTGCAGGGTTTAGCTGAAGCCGAAGTTTTTATTCTTGATGCACAGGACCAATATTTGCTAACAAGAAATTGCCAAGGACACATACGGAAGAAAAAAAAACTGTGCTGGCCCCAAATGCAGATTCTGTGATAAATATGCAGAAACAGTCGACCATCTTGTATCAGTTTGCAGTGTTAGCAGCCACTGAACACAAAACTCGTCATGACAGAGTGGGCCAATATCTGCACTGGAAAAATGCCACTTTAACGAGAAGAAACTGCTAGAAGCTGATATGCATATCATCCAGACCCGGTTACGAAGATAGGACCTGTAATAATTTTATGGGATTTTACAATACACAGAGACAGAACAATCAGTGCTAATCACCCTGACATCGTGATCAAAGACCACAAAAACAGAATGTGCTTTTTTGTTGGCATGACAGTTCCTGTAGATTTTAATGTATTTTTGAAGATCTTCAAAAAAAATAAATAAAAACTATGAAAATACAAGGATTTTCAAGTGAAAATCAAAAAAATGTGTTACATCAGGACATGACCAATTCCAGTTGTCGTTGGAGCCTTGGGATTGATTGGAAAAGGTTCCGATAGAATCATTGAAGAGATTCCTGGTAGCCCTTGCCTTAAAAAAAATAAAGAAATTGTACTGACACATTACGAAGAGCTTTATCTGTGTAAAATATGTGAGAATTTTGTTTTTGTTTTTATTAAAATAATCAGTGGAAAATGTCATGAAGGTCTCTGGTTGGGACCCCGAACGAAATGTGTATGCAACAGAAATCAAACGAAATAATAATAATAATAATAATAATAATAATAATAATAATAATGTTTACAATTGCATTTTATTTGGAAGTGACTTGTTACCGACATGTTTGCAATGACAAAAGTACGCAGGTATAGGCTTTAAGAAAGCTTTATTCAACTGAGAATACAAGATTTGTGTATAGTGTTCTTTTATAGTCCCAGTAAATAGAAATAGCTCTCTTAAAGAGGAGGTTAAAATAATAATTTACGCTCGTCAATATACCCCCCTTCACTGATAGGCATGAGAATTTAGAAAAAAAAATTCAAATTTTTAGTTTTAAATTCAAGTTTTTGATTATCAGCTATGGCACTGTTTGCCATAGGTCGAAAATTGAATAATGAATAAAGATCTTCCTCTCTTTTACTATTAACTCGAAAAAGTCAAGGTCAGAAGTTATTTTGAATTAAAAAATGAAATAATGATGGCTATAATTGAATTTTGTTTGTCACTGACTTGAAAAAATAATAATAATAATAAACGTGCCAATGGATGGCGTTCCAGCCGATGTAAAAGGTTCGAATGTGGATTTTTTAAGGCAGATCGGTAGGCTGGCAATCTTTCCACATTTCGCCGATTGTTAAGATACAATTATTCTAACCAAAGTCCACCCTTCGACCGCATTTGGCCTTATGCCGTACGAGCCCAATAAAGAAAGAAAGGACGAAAATGTCGAAATAAAAGGAAGAGAGAAATCCGAAAGGCTCTCCCGGAAGGAAATTCCTCGCAAACCCAACTGTGGTTTGGTCGCGTTTCAAGTAGGGCGGGATGGAGTGACAGCAGCCACTTCAAAGGAGCCGGCATTTTTGCGTCGTGCAGCGGACAAATACGCCTAACGAAATACTTCAACGGCCAATACTTACTTCCGGTCATGGCGCCCACAACGGCCAATCGACGCTAGCTTTATTTTCGAAATCTTCGTCTCTTTGGCGTCACCGTCTGATAATACCGAACGCAAGCAAGAGACTTCGATTTTTGGTAATGACTCGTCCTGAAGAGGGCTCCACTCTTTGATCGTGTGGGCAACGTTTGGAATCAATATATCCGGTGGTATTTAAGTGTCTCTTTAGTGAAAGTAAATTCCCACTTGCGATCGACTGCATGTAACAGACTCTTTCTGGAAATTCCACAATGGTTCTTTTATAAACAAGAAATGAAGTACTATATATATATATATATATATATATATATATATATATATATATATATATATATATATATATATATATATATATAATTCTTTTACTCTTTTAAATAACGTCTTATTTATTATTAAATTCAACAGCTCTCAAACAGAACAAAAATAGGACCAAAAAAAACAAACACCCCCATCAACATTTCGTTATGATCTTTCATTAAAAAGGGAAAAAGTTATTTTTTATAACTTTTTTTATTTAATTTCTTTGATTATTTACAAGAGAGCGTATGCATTGGTTTGTGAGGATTACCTCCCTTTGTCTGCTAAGAGGCCGGCTAGGTTTCAAGACTATAAAAGGACAGGTTAATAAAATCCATTCTTTTTGCTCCGGATTACTATGGACAACACGGCATTCTTCCCCCATTTTTGTCCCCGGCAAACCGGACTACATAATTTCAAACAAACCACGTGTTCATCACAAAAGGCCACAAAAGGCAAAGTACGTAAATGTTTTCCTTCCTTTTTGAGGTATGCTTACACGCTTATATATGCTACACATTCTACATATGCAGACAGACACACACGTACAGGTGTACACACACAATGAACAAAAATTCAAGATGACACTAATGAAAAGTGCATAAATTATTTTTAAAATTAATATAAAAATAACGAAAATAATAAAATGGGCGGTAAATTTTCATTAACTCCTGAGGATTACAAAATGTTTCGGAGATTGGATTGGATTGGATTCTACTTTGAGCCATAATAATGAATAATTACTCTCCAAGTTTAACAGAAGAATCGTAATGAAATCTATCATAAACGAAAATGACATGTTCATTATTAATTAATCATAGCTAAGAATCGGAAACTCATGAAAGATTGAAATTAAGTTCATATATATAAATATATATATATATATATATATGTGTGTGTGTGTGTGTGTGTGTGTGTGTGTGTGTGTGTGTGTGTGTGTGTGTTATTCCAAGATCAGTTTCCAATTTATTCACGATGATCTTCGCCCTCTCTAGCCTTCTAACTTTCTGTCCTGGAGTAAGTCATTTTCAAGTCTTTTTTTTCACTTTGGGTTGTCATAGCTGAAACTCATCTCTTATGTGCTAAACGTCTTATGGTTTGCATCTTTTCTAATTGATTTCTTTAGCTTTAAGTTGAAATGAAGATCCCTCTTCCTGTTGTAATCTCCTCATCCAGTTTTCCTCACTACTATTCCCTCTTTTTTAAAGTTATTCACCGTTCTCTTGATGGTTCTTGAATGAACTTTAAAGATGGAAGCCAGCGTATGAACGTTGCTATAATTACTGAAATCCTGAATGATCTTTTTCCTCTCACCATTGCTCAGTTGGGAAGATATAGTGGGGCTGACACAAAATGATTTTAATCTGTTCTATTTCTTGCTGAATAACTCAAAGGGTTTTTCAGTGATTTTTACGAAAAATGTTGTCAAGATGGTGAAACATCTTATGTGAAAACCTGGAAAAAAGAAATTCAATTAGTTTATTTTTTATTTTTTATATTTTTTTTATTTTTAGATACAGTGTAACCCGGATATAGGAGACCCGTATATAAGAGAAACCTGGATATAGGAGAGATTTTCTCTGGTCCCAAATTAGAGCCTGTGTTAATGTATATAAAATAGACCAAACCTGGATATAAGAGAAACCCGGATATAAGAGACTTCTCCGGCCCCGACAACTCTCTTATATCCGGGTTACACTGTATTAAACATTTTGTTGTATGGACAATTATGCTGTCACGCGATTTGGGCAATTTTGTTGTTACACCCGGTAGATATATAATGAAAATTTTGTTATCATTTTGGAATTTTTGATTCTGTTAACTTTATATACAGTTAGTATTATACAGTATGGAAACAGAAAGAATTTTAAGGACGTGTATGTAAAGGAAATGAAAAAGAAAGGACTATCTATTTTTTTTGTAATAAGCCAAAATGTATCGTTGTCAGCAACAAACCAGGTGCCGAAGTGTGAGCTCACTATTTGAGACCTCAAAACCCAGCAGACACAGAACTTTAAATATCTAGGTCGTGTAGTACAGAGCTTCTGGGAAATATTTTAATTGGGCCTAGAGGCAGCAGGAGTAGTCATTATTCAAGATTTACATTTTTCTACTACATATTCTTTTCGTAAATAAAACATATTTCTATTTGCGCTCATGGGATATTTTCGAAACCAAAAGTGGGCGACAAGAAAGAAAAGGTTGGTAAAAACTGTAGCAACAGACGTCGGAAAATTTGATAGAGAAATCAGAAAGTTCCTTCGAATAGGGAAATATGCTTTCCAGAAATTAAGCAAAGCATTAAAAGATAGGAAAATGTTAGAAGCAACAAAAAAGAGCGTTGAACCGCTCTGTAATAATGTCTAATCCCCGATATGCCAGCGAATACAGGACTATCTACTTCAATATGAAAGAAGTATTTCAAGCGAGAGAATGCTAGTAATGTTATAAAGAGAACTATGGGAAGTTCTAAGGAAAATATGGACAATCAGGAAGATACGACTGGAACACTTGATGAAGAGGACCTGCAGAATTACAGCCTATTCGACACTTCTCGTTTATGTCAAAGGCTTCAGAAGCCGGGGATTAACCTCATCCCAAAGGAGAGACAAAATCCTCCCACACACATCTACAAAGGAAGCGGGACTAAAATCTATGCTTTTCGCCTCTCGTTGAGACGAGAATCGTAATTCAAAACCAGAATTTATCCGGACGCCCAACTTCGTTCAATATGTATCTCTAGGCTTGTTTAACGTGGAAGTGCCAAAAACAGTGCAACCCCTGGGGCACTTTCCCCTTACAGGGGACACCTAGGACACCGGTGATTATCTCTAGCCGCCTCCTGAGGCTGGACTTAAATGTTAGCGTCTCACCTTTTGCCAGAATGAGAAGTGGTTTCGTTTTATGGATTTCAAAGCTTTTCAATAAGTGGCAAGCTTTCAAAGAACACTTAATCGGATATCACTAATGGTAGCCATCATCAATGTGGTAAACCATTTATAGCTTTTCGTTACATAGCAACAACCGACACTGAATCATTTTTTCCTTTTTTTTGTTGTTTTCTGTTCTCGCTTCTTTTATGATTGTTATTCTATCGTCGAAAAGAACAGTTAAAAAAATTAAGCAACCAATCATTTACACTTTTTTTTTTGAAAAACTTTAACAAAATATGCCTATTGCTGATCGCAATATGGGCACATGGCTGAGTAGTTAGAACCATTCTGACCATGAGATCCGGGTTCGAATCTCACCATGGTCGATTTGTCAGGAAGGAGACTTCGATGATGTTATCGCTCCCAGCGTGCGGCACCTTTGGAAAGTGCTTGAAAAAAAATACTACGGGTTGACTCAAGCTTTGTGAGTGAAATTTGGTCCCTCTTGCCTTCAATCTGTCCAGTGAGTATCAAATTTTCCAAGCCCTCTTTCCTCATTATGTGCCCTTAAAAATTTCGAACGTCTTTTCCTAATGTTAACTATAATTTTCCTTTTAGTTTCCATTTTCTCTAAAACTTCATCGTTTAAGTCTCTTCTTAATCTTTGAGGAGATTATCTAGCATTCACTGACATATAGGAGGACTGATATCATGTAACAGTTTAGTAATCTTTTCTTTGTTTCTAAGGAATTTCTCTGTTTCTTAATGTTTTTCTTAGCTTTTGGAAAGCAACTTTCGCTATCCTAATGCACCTTCGGATTTCAATGTCGCGCCTTTCGTCCTCGGTTAAAACACTTCCTGGAGTTTTGTACTTCTTTGATTTTGGTATTGCCGATTTGTAATTTGCATTTTGGGTTGTTCCTTTTGCTAACAAGCATCTATTTGTGGCAAGCCCCAAATAAAAAGGTCAAATAAAACAAAATATAAAAATAAAATATATAAACAAAAAATAAAAAGAATTCAGATTGAAAATAAGGCATTTGCACTTTCCTTTAAAACCCTTATCTCTTTCTTTCTTTCTTTCTTTCTTTCTTTCTCTCGCTCTCTCTCTATGAACTTCTCTTTCTATTCTTCTTTCAACTAACGAGAGGGCATCCCTCAAATAAAAAGAAGAAAAACGGAAGATTGCGGGATCAGAGCATACTAATTTGTGACTGAAAACTAACAAATATCAGGGAGGCTCCTCGCATAACTTCCGTTATAAAAAAATGAAAAAGAAAGGAAAGCCGGAAAATAAAATAATTTTGGCCAATCAAAATAATTAACACAAAGAGACTTTGGATGTAGACTGAAACCAAGATACCCGCCAAAATATCAGAGGTTTGGTCAAAAGGATATAAGCTGACACCTCTGCGGTAGAAAAAGAAGGGACGGCGAGAGTGACTACCAGAGAAGCAGCCGCCGGAGAAACCAGCCAAGCGTGACGCATGAAGAAGTAGTTGATTTCATTGATAATCATATTTGTGTTCTGCTTAGAGCCTAGAAAAACACATTAGATTGACAGTGACCCATTTCTAATATAACTACTACCCACTAGCACGGGCTGATTTCAAAACTACCACTACCAAGCTAAAATTGACTGTTCTCCAGATTGCTATCAATATCCGCCTCATAAATGCTCATTTTGTGACACCGAGTATCAAAGGATTCATTTTAAAGCAAATAAATCAAAATATATTATTTATTTTATAACC